TGATGTTTTCATTTTCCTATGGTTCTTGAATGGAATCGGGCCTTGAATCTACATCTGTTTGTTCTTATTCTGTTGAGGTTGACGCTATGTTATCCTCAACTAAATTCTGTAATTGCTATTTTTCTTCACCCTTCGTGCTTGAATCTGCCACGGAGTTGATGTTCCTAGATGTCTGTTGATCTCCCCTGATTTGACATATTCCCCATGGCGCTGGAAATTTAATGACTTGATGCAAAGTTGAAGGAACAACGTCCATTTCGTGGATCCATGGTCTCCTAAGAACCATATTGTAAGCCATCTCCATGTCTACTACCTGGAACTTTGTGTCTTTGACGACTCCTTCAGCAAATGTGGTGAGCGTTACCTCTCATTTCGTAACGACGCTGGAATTATCGAACCCAGATAGAGTATGTGCCTTTGGTATTACTTTTTCTTCGGCTTGCATCTCACGTAATACTCTTAACAGAATAATGTTTACGGAACTACCTGGATCAATCAAAACTCGTTTTACATTAGTATCGTATATAATTAAAGATATTACCAGTGCATCGTTATGAGGGGTTAACACGCCATCTGCATCTGCATCATTGAATGTAATGTTGTCTTCTTCTAAAACATGCCGCAGCCGCTTCCCGTGAGTAATTGTTACTTTGGAAATCTTATTTGCTGCAGTATATGACACGCCATTGATATCTTCACCCCCACTTATAACGTTGACAGTTCTTTTGGGTGAAGGTGGCTTTGGAGGCTCCTGCCTGTTCTTCATGTATGCTTGTTTACCTTTCTCACTAAATAACTCAGTGAGATATCCTTGTTTTAACAAATGATCAACTTCACCTTGCAAAAACCTGCAATCTGCTGTTTTATGCCCGTGATCGTTATGAAATTCGCACCAATGATCAGGGTTTCGTCTGTTTGGATTCGATCGCATTTCCTTTGGCCACCGTACCTTATCTCCCATGCTTCTTAAAACAGCTACGAGTTCAGAAGTGCTTACGTTGAAATTATAACCACCAAACCTTGCCTTCAGACCCCTATCATCATCTCGTGGCTCGCGTGTGTTTCGATCATTCCCAAATCTGGAAGACGAGCCTGATTCTTTATTCCTTGATCTGTGATCGTACCTTTGATTATCCTGCTTTGATCGTAAGTCTCTCCCCGCAGGTCCCATGTATGGATCGTACCTATTTTTACCGGATCTTGTTTCATTTTCAGCACGTCTTGAGCTTATTTTTTCTTCTTTTTTATGTCGTAAAATAATATCTTCTTCAATCCTCATCTTTGTACTGTATCTATTATAGACGTCATTCCATGTCGTTGCTGGAAATTCTCGGAGGCTTTCCTTGAGTCTCCTCGTAGCTTCTGAACTGTTCTCATTCAAGTTGCTTGTGAAAGCTATGGCTGCCCAGTTGTCAGGTACACGTGGCAATGTCATTCTTTCACGTTCAAATCTGTCTATGAATTCTCTAAGCAATTCTGAGTCTCCTTGCTTGATCTTGAAGATATATTCCATTCTTTTTTCAACTTTTTGAGCTCCCGAGTGAGCTTTGATAAAAGAATCTGCAAGCTCAGCAAAAGAATTTATAGAATTTTCGGGTAAAAGAGAATACCATGTAAACGCTCCTTTAGTGTGCGTTTCACCGAATTTTTTGACTAAGACTGATTCAATCTCCTGCTTAGTCAGGTCATTGCCCTTTACGCCTGTTGTAAATGCAGTAACGTGGTCTCGTGGGTCTGTTGTTCCATCGTACTTTGGTATATCGGGCATTTTGAACTTCTTTGAAATTGGGAGAGGAGCAGCACTTGGCTTCCAAGGCTATTGAGAATACTTATCCATATCTACCCCTTTGATCACGGGCGGCACCCCAGGTATCTGCTCTATGCGGTCACTTTGCTCCTTGAGCTGTTTCTGCAATGTTAGTACTAGATTTTGTAAATCAGAATTAACTAAATTACCTGGTTCTTCCTGTGTCTCACTGGGGGTTCCTCCGCTACCTGAATTAATTAGCCCAGAGCGAGGGTTCTCCAGAGTATTGTTATTTGGAGTAGATGTGGGTGGAGCAACAGGTAGTTGACTGACAAAAGCTTGAGGAGCTTTATTGACTTGTGTGGCGATAAGTTTTTGTAAAGCTTCATCCATAGCCTCCACATTTTCGAATTGAGCTTGTCCATCTGTATGAGACCCCTCAGGAGGTCCTTCACGAGACCGTCCTGGAGAACATTGTGGAGAAGGAACTAATGCGTTATTATCCTGCATCTCCCTGAAGTTGTTGATTTGTTTGATTTTCTTGGTTTCCTTGAGTGTTATCATTGTTGTTTGCCATAGTTGATGCAACAAGGAAAGTTAAGCAAAGAGGAAACAGATTATTAGATTCCCGGTAACAGAATCAATTTGTTTAACCAAAAAAATAGAATTTTAGTCAAAGCTAGAATTTAGAAGAACTCGGGTTACTGATAATCAAAGAAATGAATAAAAGAAAATAATTCTGAGTAGCAATGTAATAATCAAGAAAAACGAATGATACTCATGTATATTTCAATAATCTTTTGTGTCCCCTACAACTGATCATATATCTCTTTTTTATAGGTACCTTTGAGAATGTACGTTATGCCCAAATCATAATGAGGCTATTATGAATAATTAAAGACATTGAATGCTACGTTACACAATCATTACATTGGATATATATATTCCTTAACGGACTCAGCATTTAATACTCATTAAATGCTGTATCTGCACTCTTTTTTATAACCAGATTCATTCCTTCTGATGCCCGGATATAAATGATTTAAATAGGTTCGGGCGCCGTGCTACTTATCTGATGTCCCGTGCCTCTTCCTCCTTCTTCGCTCGTGTATGTTTTACAATTCTTGAATCGTGTCTAATTGTGATTCATTGACCATTTGACCAATCCACGTGTCCTGACACGTCACCACATATATATAAAATACAATTTTCCCAATACATATTCTCATAAATAAGGGTGTGAGAAGGATAGTGTGTATGCAGAACCTACTTCTACCTTGTGGAGGTAGAGGGGTTGTTTCCGATAGATCCTCAGCTCAAGAAAAGTACTTCAAAGATGGTTTTGAAAAAAAAAACGATAGTGAAGAAGTCATTTTGAAAATAATAAAGACAAGAACAGTAATAACAACAAAGTAACAAAGCAATAAGATATCTGAAGTAAAAGAAAACAACAAGTAGTAATAATTGCATCAATTTCGAGCAAATTAGCTTAGTTATATCAATCCTCAGGCATCTCACATTGTTACATCTAAACTCATCTCAAATGACTTGCATTAATACGCTTTGGGAGTCGTTTGGTATGCGGGATAAGGTGTAGCATTAAATTTATATCATATTTGGTTCATAGTATAAATTTAATTTCACTGGTCAACTAAAGATGATATAATTTAATTCCAGCCTTAATACATGATATTTGATGTTTAGCTTAAAGTATCTATATTTATATGTATATCGCTTTACATTTTACTCGTGTTTCGTAGATTTTGGATGTGAAATGTAGTGATTTGTGCTATTTTGTGGTATTTTTATGTGAAGAATCATCCGAAGGCAAATATGGGGCTAAAGGTTCGAGATTGGAGCCAAAAAGGAGCAAAATTAGAAAATAGCCATTTGTAGCGCCACAGGCAGCGTGGGGCGCTACCTGTGGCGCACTTTGCAGAATCTAAAAGAAGCCAGCCAGGGCTAGAGCCCCACGCTACCCTGGGCGCTAGCTGGCGATGGAAAATCTCTGCTACTTCGCCCGAGACGAGGTTATTTCAGCCCAAGACCTACTCAACGCGTATAAAAGCAAGACTACGCCTATTTTGGGAGGAGAGACGCCACTTTGAAGGAAAAATACACACGAGAAACAACCGGGAGCGAGGATATCTTAATTTTCTTCATCTTTTCTTGGTATTCTCAATTATTCAACATTGGTGAATTTTTTTGATATTATCATGGGTGGCTAAAACCCATAGTTCTGGGGTTGTGATTTAGCCATGAATATTGTAGTTTAAAGTTGACTTAACCTTGATTACAATTCACTAATATATGGTTGTTTCTTCAATTCAGTGATTAATTGTTTAATTGTTTGGCGAACAGTTAAGTTTTATTTATTATCTATGCTATGCTTGGGAAAGCTACGTCTAGATTAGAAAAGAATTAAGAGAGCACGATCTTAGCTCTGAGAGTGGGGCGGATTTGTGGTTAGGATAGGAATATACCTAGTCACTGTGCTTAATTAAATATTGTAATATTAATGAATTCTTAATAGAATGATTCCATAGGAATATAGGCATTAATCTATTTTGAATAGGCGAGTAGGAATACGAAAGAATACTACGAGAGCAATTGTTCGATTAATTAGTAACCATGAGTGAATTGTATGAAAGGGGTAGTTAATTAGAGCACAATAGGATTGGTGAATCAATCATAACCCTGGAATATTTTCTCTACTGAATACACAACAACTATTTTGTTGCTTGATAAATTAGTTAATTATTAGAATTATTGCTTAGAATAATCACACCTTTGAACTCTAATTGACTCGACTGAATAATAATCTTGGTACAATTAGTGGGTAGCTAACACAAGTCTCTGTGGGTTAGACACTCAATTTATCACTTTATTACTCGTACGACCACGTATACTTGCGTGTGCATTTGGGAGCAACAAGTTTTTGGCACCGTTGCCGAGGAACACGGACCACTCTTGGAGGAGGCTTATTAAATTAAACATGATATAATTTAATTCCAGTCTTAATACAGGATATTCCACATTATCCCGTCAAAATTGGGACTATATTATCCCACCTCCCAAGTAGAATAAATTAGTGTAGGAATTATAATCCCAGAATTATATAATCTCGGGATAATTTATCTGTGTACCAAACGACCCCTTTTATCTTTTCTTGTGACCAGTGGGAACGTAACCCATTCTATAAATAGAGGGTAAGTTGAATAACCAAGGGAATCAGCAGTAAACGCCAAAATAACCCCATCTAATTACCAACCAACTCCAACTCCGATATTGAATAACGATAACGACAGCAGCGAATATAGCTAAACCCACTACTAGTCTACTTTTAGCACACAGAAGAGAATTCAGTTATCCACTCCACTCTCTTTCCACTTTCACCTTTCTACACGCAGAACGTCCCTCCCCTCCATTATTCTGCTATATGAGCTTCTATATTCCAACTCTATCTATTACCATTGCATTATTACTAAGGATTTGAGATGATGATCAGAGATAAGATTTTCAAATTGCACCGCCACAGGTCGTCTTCTTCGTTTTCTGAGAGATCAGGCCAACGACTTGATTTCTCCTTCTCCAACCTTCACGCTCGTCAGGTATGTGCGAATATGTGTGTGTGTGTATTTTGAGTATCTCGAGGTATAATTTACAGCTTAATATATATACGAATTACACTATGTGCAATTAGCACTTGAATTTTTTTTTTCTGCTGTACCTTATGCTGTTCGATTGGTTTACTGTTTATGTGCCTGCTCAAGTTCGGAATTTCTGCTATAATTTGTGATTTTTCTGAGTGTTGAACCAAATAAATCAATGTGCGTGTGTTTGTGTATTTGAGTATCTCGAGGTATAATTTACATTTTGAGTATCTCCAGGTATAATATACAGCTTAGTACGAATTACACTATGCGTTAGCTCTTGATACTGATTTTTTCCTGATGTATGATGCTGTTTAATTGGTTTACTATTGACATACCTGATAGAGTTTGGATTTTCTGTGATAATTTGTCGATTTATTCTATTTATTTTTTAAGCAAATAAATCAATGTAGTGGGATACATGTTGAATTGTGCTTATTCGTGTTGGATTCTGGGTGTAAGTTATTGTTACAGCTTAATGTAGAGTTTGGCAGAGTGTGTTAATAAAGGAGCATAAATGCATGTGCCCTTTATTCTTATATTCTTCTGTAACAACATGTGTTTTTATTTGGACATATATGTTAGATAGGCTGGAATTTATCTTCTTCAGTATTATTTTATTACAGGAGTATTTCTTATTTGTTCCATGTCACGGGAAGCTATTAGATAGCCGTTAATTTGTTGGTTCATCGAAATAATGGTAGGAATTTCTAAAGAGAAGTGAAGCAAAGATTTGTGACATACCAAATACGGAAATTGTGCAAAGTTCTATACCCTATCCCATTTTTATATGGCACATTTTCCTTTTTAGTCGGTCCCAAAAGAATGACAACTTCTTAAATTTAGAAACAATTTTAACTTTGAATTTCTAATTTTACCGTTAATGAGATGATTTATAGCCATACAATGACTTGGTTTAGACCACAAGTTTCAAAAATCTTTCTTCTTTGTTAGATGCCCAGGTAGCTAATGGTAAATGTACATGTGCACTCGCAATTTTGTTCACAAATTTTGGGTCCTCTTCTGCTAATTTAAGTTGTAAAAGTAACTGTAGTCCTTAGTTCTTCTCGTGCTAATGCCATCCTTGGCATAGAGTAAAATTGAAAGAAACCAGATATTCCAGCTATTACTGTTATTTACACATTCAACTTTAGTGGTGTTGCGGCTATTGCAAAAGAGAAGCACAATACTATTAGTCTACCCCTTGTCAATAGTCACACAATGTTCCAATATGTAAGAAAATTTTTCACAAAGATAATACCAGAGAAGCAACAAGATCATACGTAGTATGATCTAGATAAAAGATCTCGGAGCACATGGAAAAGGGATAAGGTTCCTTGAAAGTTGGCAGGAGACAAGGAGAAAGAAACACTAGAAAACGTACTTTGGAAAACAATGGAAGTTCCAATTGCTCCAGAATTGATATAACAACTCTGTTATTCTTATATCATTAGTAATAAACGATTGAACTAGGAAGCAGACTGAAGTATAAACCATATATAAAGTGGTACGAATAAATGGCACATTGGAGGTATATGGAAGGATTAGTTCCTGAATTCAAAAGCGGAAAACAGAAAAAGATAGATAACATAGTACCTTTGATAGTATATAAGGAAATGAATATAAACAGTGCATTAGTATTTCAGGGTAGAAAATTGACAATGGGGGAAATGAATAACTCATAAAGGAACCTTCAAAAATTTTAGGTCAAATTAGTCCCATAAACATGCCCTACCGCTTTATATGCCTCTTTCCATGAAACTTGGTTATGGTTCAATAGTTTTAAAACGTTTCCTTCAACCTTGAAAATATTCATTGATTTGTACACGCTCTTTATGAGTCCAAGAGCTAAATTGTCTTGTCTCATGTATTTGTTTGCTGCATAATATTGTTGTTTTACATGGTGAATTTCTTGCCCTGCTTGAGTATTTGTGACTGAACAGATACTCTTAAGATAATGGCAAGCTACGATATCCTTCTTCCTGTTGCTTGATAAATAGATTTCAAAGATTAATCATCTAATATAAATGTCTCAATAGCCTAACTATCTTCATATCGACCAAAAACTTGACATCCAATTTCAGTATTATCAAAGTTTCTACGGTTTGCTTTTCCTCTCAGGTACCTAAAGGATGGGACAAACTTTCCATCTCTCTTGTCTCCATGGAAACAGGGAAAACAGTCAGCAAATCAGGGAAAGCCTCGGTACGAAATGGCAATTGTCAATGGACAGAGACATGGTCGCAGTCTATATGGATTACCCCAGATGATATCTCAAACCAACAAGAGCAATTCCCTTTTAAGTTTATTGTAACAATGGTCAGACATCTTCCTATATTTCTATCTGTTGATATTATTGGATCAATATGCTTTAAGCTTACTGAATTTGCTACACTTGGCTCTCAGTTTTCATGTTTATAATGCTACCAGCTTTCTGTTTCAGGGATCTGCGAGATCTAGCATCCTCGGTGAGGCTGCTGTAAATCCTGCCCTCTACAGGGATGCAAAAGCTTATACTCCAGTTTCCTTACCTTTGAAAAAATGTAATTATACCACAATTCTACAGGTGAGACCTCTTCTGATGCTTTTAAGTTTGATATTAGCACTTCAAATTGCAAAACATTATCTAGTATATTATATGATTACCATTTTCTTTCCTTCAGACATTACTCTTTGTAGACCCACCCTATCATATTTTACCAATATTCCATGCTTCTTTTGCAATGAGCAGGTTCATCTTCCTCTACTAAGTACAAAGAGAGAAAAAAAAAATCTTTCCTGTTTCCTTACTGGACAAAAGTACAAAACAACCTATTTTTCTTTTAACAAATGAATCAGTCACTAATTTTATCTGTGAGCTTAGCTCAAGAACCGTGTTATCGGCTGGCTTCTCAGATCTTAGTAATCCCCTCTAGAAAGCTTTTGGTTTCATTTGTGCTCAATACTTTTCAAGTAAATAAACTCTAGGTTTGCTTCTCGGTAATACGATGTAATTTGTTTTTCGTTCAATAGTATACTTGTAATTTTACAAGCTATATACTGAAAGGATATTAGTTTTATCATTTACTTTGCTCATAAAAATTTGAGAGCCCCATGTACTACTTTGCATGCTTATGCTATATTTTACATACTTTTTTTAATGTGAAGTTGAATATGTTATTATTACGAATTACTTAACTTAATAAACGTGATGATCAAAGAAACAATATTGGACAAATTTACTTAACATAATAAATATGTTTCCAGCTTTGACTTCCTCATCTGAACTGCACCAAATTACTCATAATTTGGAGCATCCTAATGTTCACCCCATCCTGAATACTCGAGGTCCTTGTCAAAGATTTTCAGTCAATTCCTTACGTGCTTGGCCTATATTTAATTCAGGAACATGTTAGCTCAAGTACACCTGAGTACATGTACTTTCAGCTTTTGTCCTTACCTGCCATTGATTCAGTTTCTTATGTTTCTGCAGCTGGAGATCCAGTGTCTGACAGCAATCAGGTTTGTCACTAGAAGATAGCAATTTCTTGCTGAGTTTTCCAGATTTCTACTTCTTTTTCATTACCCATACTTAAAAGAATCAGTTTGGAACTTGTAGGGATAATGAATTTAAAGACATGTCCATCCACACAGAAGAAGAGAATGTGGAATACAATAACATGGAAATCAAAACAGAGGTATCTAACTACAAGTTATAAGGATTTATGCATTTGTCAACATTAGTTGCGATATTATATGAGAAAATCTCTTTTCTCAACTTAATTTCCTAATATTTGATTATTCACACAATTAGAGTTTAACTAGTCTCCTACTTAATATTTGGATAACTATTTCTACTTTTTCATTCACACATTCAAAATGCAGTTAATAATAAAAAATTAGACCTTTAGTGGAACTGACCAATAGAATAAATTAACATGTCCTGTCTTCATTTTCAGTGTAAGCCAAGTCTGAGTTTCATGCAATGCTTTTACTAATCTATCTAGAATTGACCAGGCAAAAAGTGTACCATAACCTCTCAGGAAACTTATGTCAGTTAGTCAATTACATATAAAGAGCTAAAAAGTGGCTGCAGTATTGCCTGGAATCTAAATCTTGAATGCAGCCTTAGTAGCTTAGACATGGCGTTGGACATGGTCACAGACAGAGATACAGATACTGCAAATTAAAAATTATGGGACACAAAAACAAGGGCTAGTTAGAAAATCATAGATATATATCAAATTACTTGAATAATTGAACTCACCGGATGCATATATAGGCTCAAATATCACAAATCGCGTACACTTCTCCTTATTATTTTACCCACGTCTTCTCTTGGGAATCTTGTATTACAAGTATCTATGGTGCATTGATTTGGTTACTTTATCACCTCCAGCTTCCTATAGAATTTAAGCAATATTATGCTTTCCCAACAGGAAACTGGTTTCCGAGCTCTGAGTTCATCTCATAGCTTTGGCTCTACTGAGGATTCATTGGGCAGAGAAAGTTTTTCCTCCCTAAGTGACTCAAACAGGCCTGTTAATCACATAATTGGCAGACAAGAATCAATTGATTCCAGGAGTAGTGCATCCTGCAGTTCTTACTCTTTTTGTGAATCGCCCAAATCGTACAACTCTCCCTATAATTTAATGAATTCGGGATCAGGAAAGAATGCTCAAAATCAAAAAGATGATTACAAACAGTTATCACATGATAACACTGCATCAGTGCAACTTGCTGCTTCCTCTAGAAACTCCTTACAAGCCAAGGATATTACCAGTAAAGAACTAATTGCAGAGGCCATGGTGTGGGAACAAAATGCTCAAAGCTTAAAGATCGACTTGGAAATGTCAAGGAAGGAGTTTTTTGACCAGACACAGCAGATAGAAAACCTTAAGATGGAGCATTGTTCACTGGGCGCCGAACGTGATGGATTGATGCAAGAAATCAAAGACCTGGAGGCCCTTTTACAAGAATCTATGGAAAAGGAAAAAGCAACTGATAGATTGATGCTCCAACTCAGAGATATGGACAGTGTCCAAAAGATTTTAAAAGAGGAGCTAAGGATTCAGAAAGAATCAAATGACAGTATGTCTTTACAGCTAAATAAAACTCAAGAATCAAATATTCAACTGGTCTCCATTCTGCAGGAGATGGAAGAAACTGTTGAAAACCAGAAACTGGAGATTGAGAACCTCCATATAGTGAACCAACAGAACCTAGAGGACAAGCTTCAACAGTTGCAGGAATCACAGATAAATCTGGAAACCACCACTCTCCACCTGGAAAAAATCATCAGGGAGAAAACTCATGAGATTGAACTTGAGCAAGGTCACAGAACTCAGGCTCTTTTAGATTGTGAAGAAAAATGGAAAATTAAGTCGAGTGAACAAGAAGAGGAAATTGCTTATCTGAAGGCAGAGTTATCCAGAATTTTAAGTGCAGAGGGCTCCGAGACGAATAAGGCCAAACCTGCAGCTGACTGTGATCTGATCAGGGAAAATGAGACTCTCAAAGAAAAGCTTCAGGAACTTGAGAGAGATTGCAAGGAGCTGACAGAAGAAAATCTGGAACTTCTGTACGAACTGAAATCAAAGGGAACTTCCTCTATCAGCGGTCCCCTTTTAAGTTCATCGTCCGTCGAGGGTCAGCTAAGTGAACAATCACCTGCTGGTTCCGAATTTGAAGTAAGTAACGGTGAGCTCCTTTCTTCACCATTTCAAGATGATAAGGGGAAGAAGAAAATAATTGCAGAGACGGCTGCCTCTGAAAGTAAGCAGAAAACCTGTGATCAGGAAGAGAACTTAGCTCAAATGGAGTTTCACTCACGAGTTAAGGACAATGCTTCGAGGCTTAATGCTGAAATCATCTCACGTTGCTTTGAAGTACAAGAACGAGATCAGAGAACTGAAGTTGCTGCAATCCCATTAGAATGTCATCCAGAAGAAAGTTGTCATGGTGGTTTGACTCATGAAAATGTATCTGCAATGTTCCAGAGTTCTGAGTCAGAACGTATTGAAGATGTCTATGCCTTGCTCAACACATTATGTAAGTATCTAGAATGTTTCTCATGCAACAGGAATACAAGACAAAGTGTCCTTTCTTTACTATCAACACTGAGTTTAAAGATGCTATTTGTAATTTAGATCTTTGTAAATGTACAGGTCATACCACTAAGGACGAGCAAACTGATGCGGTGTTGAAAAAATTGCTCCAGTTATTGGGGTACAGATCGGCTGTATGTCTTGATGGTAGTAAACATATAGAGGAGGAACCCAAAATAACAGTAAAGGATGCATCTGAAGTCCAAGATGGAGAAAAGGATGACCTTCCAGAGGAAAAAATTCCTTGTTCTTGCTGTCAAAGGCTTGAGGATTCAAATAAGGTGCTAGACATCAAGGGTCAAAATTTAAGCAGTGATAATTTAGCAAAGAACTCGGAGATACTGGAACTGAAAACAGACTGTTTGAAAAAGGATGCAGAGATCGAAGCTCTAAGGCACCAGCAGACTGATTTGAGAACTCAAATCTCTGATCTCCAAATGAGTAAATGTCAGATGGAGGAGAGAATGGAAAACATGCAACAAGAACTTAGTGCCACCTCTAAATCTTTAGACACTTCCACAAATGGTTTGATGTTTCTTGATAAATGTATTTGTGGAGATGCCTCTAAGGTGACGCTCAAAATGAAATCATTAGAGCTAGAGAGTGACAAATATGAGTTAGAACTTAATTTGTATGAAGTAGAAAAAGAAAATGTCGATCTGTCAGAACGAGTATCAGGGTTGGAAGCTCAACTAAGGCATTTGACTGATGCAATGGAATTCAATCGCTTGGAACTGCAGCATTCAGGTAATCGTGTTGTGAACCTTCAGGAAAAGGTCAGAGAATTAGAACACGAAAAGGAGTCGCAAAAGCTCGATATGAAAGAAAAGTTGCTGGAGATGCAAAACCGATGGTTAGATGCTCAAGAAGAGTGCAAGTATCTAAAGAAAGTAAATCCAAAACTCCAATCGACAACAGAAAGCCTTATGGAAGAGTGTCGTTTGCTTCAAAACTTGAATGCAGAACTAAGGCAACAAAAGTTAAAATTGCATACGAGCCATAATGTTTTGGAAGCAGAACTGAGGAAATCTCAGTATTCTTTCTCCACCTGTTTGAAAAGGATAGAGTCTTTAGAAGCTAACTTTTCTTCAGTGCTGGAAGAAATTGAATCAAAAGAGAAGATCCTTAAGTTCAAACTTGATGATCTCCACCTACAGACTATAGAGCATAGAGAGAAACTTCTTGTAGAAGAGTGCACACTGCATGAAATATCTCTGGAGAATACCGTCGAAGTTGAAAAGTTGCAACAACAGGTACAGTCCCTCATGGTGCAGATGTCAAATCTTATGAGTGATCTTGGTACTTCCAAAGCCAAGGAGGGAACTTTGGCAGCTAACTGTGAGAAGCTACTGAGGACAATGGAACATCTTGCGTCCAATGAAGCAAAGCTTAAATGCACCATTAATGAGCTTGAGTCAAAACTACTGTCTTCTGAATGTCAAATGCTGCAAATGACTGAAGAGAATTCCATTCTAAAGATGCGACTGCAAACGTTACCATTACTTCAGGAGGAAGTATTGGATCTTAAAGGAGCACTTTCTAGGATGAAGTTTGAAAGCGAGAGATTACAAGTTACACTGCAGTTGAAATATGAAGATTGTGAAGAGTTGAAGGCAGAGAAGGCGTCATTACTTCAGGAGATCTCTTGCATGCACAAGGCAGTGGCTGAAGCGGAAGAATGCAAATACAAGAAAATTTCACTAGAGGAGAAAGTTCTGAGGTTAGAAGGAGACTTAACTGCAAAAGAAGTAATGTGTGCCAAGGTTTCCGAGCTGAAAAATGAGGTTTGCCAGCTTAGAAGAGTAAATAGCCAGTTTCTGCGGAAAATAAAATCCCTTCAATTCGAGAAAGAGGGCTGCTTGAAGCAAGTTGAATCAGTCGAGGAAGAATTGAAGAGAAAGCGATTAGACAACCAAAGAGAGGAGAATGTTCAGAAGATTCAAGGCAACTCTCGACAAGTACGTGCTACTAGAACTATCCTCATTCCTTTGTGTGCCACAGTGTAAATAGTTATTAATTACTTTCTTTCTAGAAATTTGTAGTTATTATAATTTCTTCTATTTATTAACGTCATGATATTCCCACATATTTATTTAGGATGGGAACAAAGAAAGCAACTACAACAGAGATCTTCAAGAGACAGTCGCCAAAAGTGTATCAGCTATCCAATTTCCGGGGGATACAGTAGTTCAGACTTTAGAGAGCAATCGTATACGTGAATCCCATCTAATTAGGTGAGCCTATATAAAATTCTTTTGGTTTTGTGTCCTAACCTTTGTTTTTGTTTCTCCTGATGTTTTTTTGTGGATTCTGGAACACCTTTTTGCATTATCATATCTTCAGGACAACTGAGAGTATATATGATTAATTAACAAGTTATAATTCAAGATTGAAATCTTAATATTCCAAATGTTTGTATCTTCAGTTTGTCATCCAAAGGAAGAGACAAGAATCTGCAAAAAATATCTCAGCTTGAAGCTGAGCTGCAAGAAATTCGTGATCGATACCTGCACATGAGCCTAAAATATGCAGAAGTGGAAGATCAACGCGAGCAACTCGTGATGACTTTGAAATCCATACATGATCAGAAGACAGGCAGAGGATCTTACCTTTCCTCTTTCTGGTCAGCTGATGCTGATATATGACTCTTTTCTCCAGTACGTTATGTTCATACACAGCTGATTCAATCAAGAATGGTAGAAATTAGTTGTCGCCAAAGTACTGGGGTTCATTTTCATTGAACGGACCCCGAGTATACCATAATTTAAAAAACGTGATAATCACCAAAAGATCAGCAGTTGTATAGGTAGTTTATGATCTCTTTGGTGAAGGAGTCAGAGTGTCTTGTAGCAGAGTACCAAAAATTTCATTTCTGTTATTTGTACATGATCAGTCTAGGTAATTATTCGGATGCATTCTGCAAATTAGGCAAAAGGCAGTGCGATTCATGCTTTACTTTGGACATTGTTCAAGTCCATTTATGATCCTATTCCAAGAGTAAGTACTTGAGTAGATATTTTTTTTCTTATGAATATTTCTTCTTTATTTTGTATTCTACTTTTCTCAACTTGACAAACAATTCTAGTCTACTTCCGAAAACGATTACTGAAGGACGATGAAAGAAAAAACATGGGGTAAGATCCACCGGTGGGAAGCCTTAACCGGATGTGTGGTAACACAGGTAAAGCCCGAAGACTATTCCCGTCCCTGTCGGGGGAGATGCCAACCATCTCAACTTTCTACGAATACAGCTATTTGCTTAGCGTCAATATATATAGTAACTCTCCATCTTAATGACTGTAATTAACAAGGTATGGAAGAATCAAATTGGTATATTATTCCATGTAGTGATACATATATATATACATGTACATCAGGTGCTAACTAAGGAAAGAAATAAAAGAGATTCCTACAAATCTGCTATCTATATATGGGTTATGTACACTACTAAGAAACAATCTATGTTCATCGTGTAAAGTATCTAGGTTCATTTTGTAATACTCCCCCTCAAGCTGGAGCATATATATTGATCATGCCCAGCTTGTTACAAAGGTAATCCACTCGAGTGCCATTCAATGCTTAATGAACAAATCAGCTAGCTTCTCTCCCGTCTTCATGTAGCCAGTAGAAATCAAGTTCTCCTGAATCTTCTCACGAATAAAATAACATTCAACTTCAATATGTTTGGTTCTTTCATGATACACTGGATTTGAGGCAATATGGGGTGCAGCTTGATTATCACACCAGAGTTTTGATGGAGTAGGATGCTTCAACCAAATTTTAGTTAAAAGGTGATGTATCCACATTATCTCACATGTTGATTGTGCCATAGCTCTATACTCGGATTCTGCACTAGACCTAGATACAACATTTTGCTTCTTACTTCTCCATGATACCAAGTTTCCACCAACAAATACACAGTAACCAATAGTAGATCTTCTATCAATCTTGGATCCAGCCCAATCTGCATTTGCAAAACAATCAATACGAGAATGACCGTGATTGCTGTATAATATGCCAAGTCCAGGAGCTTCTTTTAAGTAACATAGGATCTGCTCCAAAGCCTCCCAATGTTTAACTGCCGGCGCGGACATGAACTGGCTAACCATACTCACTGCAAAAGCAATATCTAGACGAGTCACAGTGAGATAGTTTAATCTCCCAACTAACCTCCTGTATCTATCTGTATCATTAAATGGATCACCATCATCTTTCATAAGATGCAAATTAGGAACCATTGGAGTACTACAAGGCTTGGTAGCCAGCTTACCAGTTTCTGCTAGTAAGTCAAGAATATACTTTCTCTGAGATAGAAAAATTCTCTTCTTGCTTCTAGTTATTTCTACTCCCAAGAAGTATTTCAGTTGTTCCAAGTCTTTTGTATGAAACTTAGTATGCAAGAAAGACTTGAGAGAAGAGATTCCTACATAATCACTCCCTGTGATAACAATGTCATCCACATATACAACAAGGAGAATAGATCCAACTGTTGATTGCTTGTAGAAGACAAAATCATCACATTTGCTCTTTTTCAGCCTAAATTATTGAACTGCTTCACTAAATTTACCAAACCAATCCCGAGGACTCTGCTTCAAGCCATATAAGGATTTCTTCAAATGGCAGACCTTGCCATACTCCCCCTGAGCAACAAAACCAGGTGGTTGCTCCATATATACCTCTTCATGGAGATCATCATGAAGAAAAGCATTCTTAATATCCAATTGATGCAAAGGCCAATTCTCAGAAGCAGCTAGAGAAATGAACAAGCGGACAGAAGTAAGTTTGGCAATCGGAGAGAAGGTGTCTGAATAATCCACCCCATAAGTCTGAGCATACCCCTTAGCCACAAGTCTGGCCTTAACTCTCACCACAGAGCCATCAGGATTAACTTTAACTGTGAAGACCCACTTGCATCCCACTGCTTTCTTTCCACTGGGTAAATCCACTAAATCCCAAGTGTGGTTTTTCTCTAAGGCATGTATTTCCTCAAGCATTGCTTCAGACCATCCAGGATGATTCAAAGCCTCCTTCACCGTTTTGGGGTATAGAATAGAGACACAATCAAAGATCTAGATGCAGGAGACAAGTGGTCGTAGGAAACAAAATTAGCAATAGAATATGTGGATTTACAAGTACGTATACCTTTGCGAAGAGCAATTGGAAGGTCAAGGTTTTCTGGAGGGTCAGGTGGAGGCAAATCTGATGATGAAGGAACTGATGACGAAGGAACTGGTGCAGAACATGTATCATTCATCTGTTGCCTCCGCGAGTAAACTTGAGCAATTGGCGGTCTTGCTAACACAGTTGGAGCAGGTGCTGTAGGTAGAATAGTGGATTGGTGCTCGATAGAATTAGGAGATGGAGGAACATCATCTCGCTGTTCTGTCAAAGTACGAGTAACCTGATATACTAGCCACTCATCTTCCTCCCCTGACTTGTAGAAATGGGAGGTGCATAGAAGAATGGTGTAGTATCTGAAAATACCACATCAGTTGACACCAAATATTTGCCAAGTTCAGTAGAATAACACCGATACCCCTTTTGAAGGTGAGAATAGCCAAGGAAAACACACTTCAATGCCTTGGGATCCAACTTGGTAACAGATGGTCGAACATCTCGAACATAACATGTGCTTCCAAATACCTTAGGTTCCACCGGAAATATTGCCTTGTTTGGAAAAAGGAAACTGTAAGGCACATTACCACCAAGCACAATAGACGGCATGCGATTAATCAGAAAGCAAGCCGTAGAGACCGCATCAGCCCAGAACTGTTTAGGAACCGTCATTTGGAACAAAAGTGCCCGAGCTGTCTCAAGTAGATGTCTATTCTTCCTCTTAGCAACTCCATTTTGAGAGGGTGTATCAACACATGAAGACTGATGTAGTATATCATGTTGTCTCATGTACGACTGAAATAACTCTGGCATGTATTCTTTAGCATTATCACTCCTTAGAATACGCACCGAAGCGTTAAATTAAGTTTTGACTTCAGCACAGAAGGCAGAAAAGTGAGCAAACACTTCAGAGCGGCTCTTCATAAAGTAAATTTAAGTCATTCGAGAAAAATCATCTACAAAGGTAACAAAATACTTATGCCCAATTTTGGAAACAACGGGACATGGTCCCCAAACCTCAGAATGAACTAACTCAAAAGCTGACTCAACTCGTTTATTAACCCTTGGACTTAACAAGATGCGACGGTGTTTTGCAAATCGACATGACTCACAATCCAATGAAGAAATATTCTAAAATTGAGGACAAAGCTTCTTCAACAAAGGCAAAGAGGGGTGTCCCAATCGACAATGTGCTTCAAAGGGAGACACAACACTAGAGCATGCAATAGACCGTGGCTCCCATTCATCAAGGATGCGGAGATCACCAGATAAATATCCTTTACCAATAACCTGTTTGGTTGTAAGATCTAGAAACAAACAATGATCGGGAAAGAATGCAACACAACAATTAAGGCATTTGGTGATTTTACTAACAGAAATCAAGTTAAAGGCCAAGTTTGGTAGACTTAATACAGATGACGGGGTAATAGAGAAAGTTGGTTTAACAGTCCCAGATCCAACACTGCTACAAGTTGATCCATCAGCTACAGTAACTGGAGAGGGTGCTTTATGTGAGCGAAAGCTAGAAAAAAATATTTCGATTACCTGTCATGTGATTTGCGGCACCTGAATCGATCACCCATTTATTGGAAGAGGTGATAAGACATGTTTTATCTAACCTAGCAAAGGCAGTAACTGAAGAAGATTCCTTAACTGATTTATGATTTTGAAGGAACTTTAGAAACTCATCCGAAACCAAGATTGCTGGACTAGGAGTTGTACTAAAGACTCAATAAAGTCTTACTAATCATATTATACTAAAAGTGGGAAGCTCTTTCCTGCAAAGTTGGATTACTATTTTGCCCCAATTGTAAATTTGTTTTAAGTAAAATATAATAAAATATTAAACATTTAATATAATAAATATGGAATAGTAATATTATAAGTACATGACCATTAAATTACATGACCTAATTAAAAAGGATGAATCCGTAGAAAAGAGCTTGGGTAACGTATAAACAATAAAGTGACTGAAATCATATGCACATTGATGGCTGCTTCTTTCAGTTTCAATTCCTAATAAAGTTACTGAAATCATTAATTTGGTTTTTAACCCCCACGTTCTTTTTGAAGAACACCCTAAAATTGGTGTTCTGACTTTTTTCCCAAACATTGATGGCTGATTTCTTCCGTTTCTTTTCCCTAATAAAGTTATAGAAATCATTCCTTTACTTATTATTTACAGTAATTTCACTCTTTATATTTTGTTCTTTCATATAACTCCTTCTACATGCCTTTTCAGATTCTTCCCAGCACTCTATATAAATACACAATAAGGTGTCTTTGTCCCATCATCCTTGTATTCTTTTTGGTACAGTTTTCTTTACAGGCTTTTTGGTTGCCGCATCACAAAATTGGTAATAATTCTACACTCTTGTCATTACCTTTAAACTTTATTAAGATATTCATATATTGACGTTGCTTGATTTTTCAATTAAACCTCAAGAATCAGTAGCTTCTTTGAACATTACTTGTCTTGCAACTATATATTGCATTTGGTGCTTCATCTTCTAAAGGATATATATTCGCAACTATATATTGTATTTGTTGCTTCATCTTCTAAAGGACATATATTGGATAGGTAAAAAATTCTACATTAGAACAATATATTGTGTTGCCTCTACTCTCCTAGCTACTACAGGATAACTTACAATGGCAAACGAAGAAGAGCTAGGAAAGTTGTGCATACCTATTAGCAAGTTGAAGAAATATGCTACAGAATGGGTAATTAAAGTTTTAGTCATTCGACGACGCTTAATAAAGGAATACAAAAATGAGAACGGCGAAGGTGTACGTTGGCAACTAATATTCGTTGATGAAGAGGTAATTTTATTAAAATAGTTTCTTTTATTCAATTCTCAATGCACTGCCTCCTTTGGTGACTTTATTGCTTGTCCGTATTGACACAGGGAA